TGGTGGAGCCGACATGTGTGCGGGGATTGTGGCATTGCTGGCTGGCAGTTCCACGTCACTTTTCAGCATTCCTGGATGTGCTGAGGAATGACGGCTGGCGACCAGCGTGTTGGTGCTGCCGGTGGGAATAAGTGCATCGGGAATAGGCCGTTTTCTTTTTTCTGTGCTGGAGCCGACGAACTGGCACGAGGGCACCGGCTGCAGGCTGCCTGCCAGCACGTGTGAGCAGCGGATCCGTGCACACACAGACGCTCATCGCAAGAGCGTGTGCGATCACGGTGGCCTTTTGTGGCGTGCTTTTGTGGACGTCAACCCATCGAGGAATGTGTGGAGCAAACGGCTGACTGCACACGAGGAAAATAAGTGCGTGCACTGTGCCGTGTTTCTGCGTCGATGGCAGAGCGACAGGAAGCCCGTGCTGGCAACCGAGATCTTTGCGTCGCGAGGGATGTCGGTGTTGATTTTGGATCGTCGAGGGTGGAAAGATTTTGCTGCTGCCCGTGTGTGTGACCACTCCGGCAGAGGGCGGACACAAAAGGGAGAGATGCAGGCGCTGCGTGTGTGTGCAGGTGCCATGCAACAACGTCACAACAAACATGCTGCGACTCGGTGACCCTCACATCGTTGTGGTCCTCACGAACAGCCCAGGCACGGCCCACACCGATGCACTTAGTGGACGGAGTGAGGCATCTTTTGAGGCGCTGCAGGGGACAGGATGTGTTGACGCAGCCACGACGTGCATGGAGTGTCACGATGGCACAGTCAGCAGTGGCTGGTGGAGTATTTACTTCTCGGAGGCAACGGAGAGAAAGAGAGAGCTGCTCCTGCTGCTGGCGTCGTTGCTGCCTTTTGTGGCCTCCCATGCCGATTATTGTCTGTCCGCTGATCATGGGTGGCATGCCTCCACTAGTGACGTCGTCTGCAGGCATTTCACAGCACCAGTGAAACGCACATCATGTCGCATGCTTTGGCTGTGGCTGTGGTGTTGTGAATGCAGCCGGCATTATTTTGCCCGACTCCTTTTCACTGCTTTGCGACAAATAGATGCGTCGCCGCCCGAGTCATTCACTGCAGCACCGTGTGTTGTACTGCCAGCACAAGACTCTCCTGTTGTCTGACGCCTGGCTGACAGTCAGACACCACTGCGTTGGGAAATGCAAGGATGTGGACTGCCGCTCACGGTGTTAGGCACCGCTGTTTGGATGCGGCGGCCACACGAGCGGATGTATTGTGGCACAATGAAATGCGTGAAGTACGCGGAATCACAGCGGCTGCAATAATATCAGCGGTGTGGCGCCACGGAATATGTGAGGGGGTGATGCATGATAAATCACAGCGGGCGGCATGCGAGGGAAGTGCACCGCGACGGAGCGTCACCCCGCCCTCAGCCTGCAGGGGAATGTACACCCACAAAATATATGGACGAGACACCACCAAACACACACATGCCCTTTCATGCACCAATAAATAAGAGCGAAGGTGCGTTCTGGTGTGTGGGAGTCCACTCACATATTTTCATTTCCACCGCAATAAACTGTGAGGAATCAGGTGCCACCGCAACGAAAGGAAAAACAAACATCTATTGCAACACTTTACCAGCGAAAGGCAGGAACAACACAAACCGAATTATTGGCCGCACCAGCACAAGCAACATTTCACAAGGGGAAAAAACAAATTGTGCACCCTGCAGAAATCCCCAACACAGTACCCAGGCATGAAGGTTTACCCTCCGCAAAACGAAAGAACAAAACGCATGCAGACATCTGCCAACATTCAAACAGAAACACAAATAAATGGATTCTTGCTTTATACCATTCCTTGCTCTGAATATGAACGAAGGCCAAAGGAAACCGAATGATTTTTGTGATGAATGTTGGCTGCCCTTCCTGTGGACCAACAATTCACGTGGTGTGCGGAGATTATTCTTTTTATTGTTACTTTGCTTTTGTGTTGCTGTGTGCGCTGCACCTCCTCTTGTGTGTGCGTACCCTCCGTGAGGGGTGCCGACACGACGGACCGCTCTCGCCGTATGTGCATGCGGTGGAGCCTTGTGTGCCGCTCCTGTTTGCTTCTCCCTCTTCCATCTGTGTGTGTTGGTGTTGCGGCAGGGCTGTGTGTGCGGCGTATGGTGCATGCCTGGCCGCTGCCCTCTCCTCGTGTGATTTGCCCTCTGTGTGTGTATGCCACACCTCTCGTCTCCCCTGTTGCTCTCCATGTCCCTCACTGTGCAGATCAGCTCCACACCACTGAACGACCACACTCACGATGATGATGACGTGCCGTCTGCTGTGCGCCCTGTTGGTGCTTGCCCTGTGCTGCTGCCTGTCCGTGTGCGTGGCAGACACTCAGTTGGAGGATACTGAAGATCGTGTTGAAGAACGAGGCGGCATACAGCTGCCTCCACCACCACAGACACCAACTGATAAGCCGCCTATTGCTCACGGAAGCGTCACCAGTCATTCGTCCTCTGCAACAGGTGTAACAATTGAGGAGGCCGATCATTCAGATCTTCCAACAACGGGCCCCGTTGCAAAGCCGGGAAATGGTGGCGAAGAGGGAACAGGATTTAGCAGTACGGCAGGTCTGGGACCAAAAGTAAATACCGAGCCAAATACATCACTGACAGAGGGTACGAAAGAGCAACAAAGTCGCACTGAACCATCCGCAGAACAAACAAATAAGGTGTCTGAAACTTCTCCTTAGAAAACCACTACGACCACAACTACAACGAAGGCACCAACCACGACGACCACCACTGCGCCGGAGGCACCAAGTGATACGGCCATGAATGCAGACGTGCCAACCACGACGACCACCCGCGCACCGTCACGTCTTCGCGAAATCGACGGCAGCCTCAGCAGCTCTGCGTGGGTGTGTGCCCCGCTGCTGCTCGCCGTATCCGCGCTGGCGTACACCACTCTGGGCTGAAGAGGTTTATGCGGGCTGTGCGTGCCAGCACCCAACCGCGGGGATTTGTGCGCGTCTATTTTGATCCGATGTAAATAAGAAAAAATAATGATCTTGTTTTGCTTCACTTGCTTCTGCTGCCGTGCTGTGTGCTCCGCGTTGTTCCTCACATACTTGACGTTGAACGCATCCCGGACGTACTCATATGCATGCGCACTAGAGTCTTGGGTTTTTTTTCTTTATTAGTTTTTCTTATTGCTTTTTAAACTTCTGGATTGCATGGCGGTGTGCGAGTTCTACAATTGTACTGATTCCATCTGTTTCATGGTGTGTGCGCTGCTGCTTCTGCTGTTGCTGCCATTTGTTACTGTGCGGTGGCTGTGCGTGGTGTAGCGGCCGTGTCTCTCTTTTTGTTTTCACATGCTGTTGCAGGTTGGCTCCAAGGCGTTAGGCGTCTCCACTGTTTGTGATGATGACTGGCCGTGTGCTCTGCGTCCTGTTGGTGCCTTCACTGATGTGCTGTTTCTTGTGCGTGTGTGCGACAGTTGCTGCGACGGAGGTGCGTGTGCGGCCTGCTGGTGATGGCGCGGTGACTGCTGGGCACATGTGGGCAGTGATGGCTGCGGAAAGTGAGCCCGTGGTCGATGGCTCTGAACGAAAGGTGAATGTGAACTCTGAAGAAAATAGCCGTCAGGAAGACGAGGAGGGTGATGTTCCTACGCCCACGCCCCCTGAAACACTCACTCCTACGACGAGGAAGGATCAATCCAGCAGCGACCCAACGCGAAGTATCACTTCCAATCCTTCTGACGCTGGTGACGTGTCCGATTCCCAGACCCATGCAAGTGGACAGGAGTCTTTGAGCGGAGGGCCCGCTGCAGGCACAACATCCCCACTCCCCAACTCATCTCAGCAGGCAGCAGGTGGAGTGCATGCTGGAGGTGGGAGTTCCTCCCAGGGCAGTCAGGCTTCAGGACAAACCGTCACAGGACAGTCACTGGTGTCAGAGACGGCAAAGGCAACACCGCAAGGCGGTGGAGGAGGAGGACTCGGAGCGCAACACGAAGCCGAACACACCACAAAAGATGACGGTGGTAACCCCCTGGGAAAAAACAGCAATGAAAAGGAAGAGCCACCAGAGGGATCGCAAACTGCACCACGACCCAGCAGTGGCGGGAGTGCTAATGTCGCACCGAATCCCGCTGTCTCCATTTCACTGCCCCCAGAGCCAAAGTCAACAAGTGAGGCAACCGGTACGGGAGAATCTTCACATCCGACCGATAATGCACAGACACAAAGTATGAGGAACGATACTGCACCAAGCACGGCACAGACACAAAATTCGCCGAACACTAAAGCACAGGAATCAGAAGCAGAAATCACTACAACAGAGGCACCAAGTACTACGGCCAGGAACACAGAGGCGCCAACCACGACGACGACCCGCGCACCGTCACGTCTTCGCGAATTCGACGGCAGCCTCAGCAGCTCTGCGTGGGTGTGTGCTCCGCTGCTGCTCGCTGTATCCGCGCTGGCGTACACCACCCTTTGCTGAAGAATTGTGTGTAAGGTGTGCGTGCCAGCACTCAATCACGGGGACATGTGCATTTCCACTGTGGTCCGATGTATAAAGTAAGAGTAATTATGATGATTGTGCTTTGCTTTGCTTGCTTCCGCTGCCCTGATGTGTGCTTCATGTTGCTGCTTCCTGTATCCGCCACTTGGCACGCATCCGACACTCATATGCACGACACGCGCACGACTGTTTGCGAGGACGCACTGATGAGGGTAGGCGCATGCGCGTTGGAGCAATTCGGAGCAGCTCTTTGTTTTTTTTTTGTATGTGTTTTTGCTGTTTTACTTCATTGCTGCTTGATTCCTTTTGTTTTGTTTTGTTTGTTTTGAGTATTTTTCTTTTTGTTAAAATTTGGCAGGGTGTTGTGCATTTTTTGAAATTTCATTGCTTTGATATTTCCCATGAAATGCTTGCTGCTGGTGGTGTTTTTTACTGTTCCTTGTCTCTCCTTTTGCTTTCACTCTGCGTTGACGGGGATTTAGTTTGTGCTGAAGGCTACACGCAAGTGACAGGAGTGATGGCGATGATGATGGCTGGCCGTGTGCTGCTGGTGTGTGCCCTCTGCGTGCTGTGGTGCGGTGCGGCTTTTGGACACGCGATGGACGATTACTGCAGTGAGGGTGGAGGGAACGGTTTGAGGCACACGAGTAATGGTGGAGATGACGGAGTGTCTCTAAAGGCGGACTGCGGGTTGTTAGCCACTCGAATGGCATTAATAAAGGCGGTTGAGGCTGCGGAAGCTGGACAAGGATTGAGTGGTGATACAAAACCACAGGGAAATTTGAAGGAGCCATTACCTAATAATACGGAGGGCAGTCCAGCGCCTGGTGCGGGAGGAAGTGGTGTCGCAGTTCAACCACCACCAGCAGTAACGCTGGAGCACGAAGGTTCAGATACAGGAGGACAGCAGGTGACGCTGCCTAACGTGGTGGATACAAATGGTGGAAAAAAAGGAGATGATAAGAATGGAAGTGAACTTGAACCCGAAGAAATAGGAGCTGGTCAATCTTCATCATCATCATCTGGAGGCGCTGGCACTTTGGGTGGTAAAGGACTCCCCTCGAAACAAACTTCCAAGAGTAATGAACCCTCCAACGGCACGCCGACACAAGAAGAGGATGCAGGAAATCATCGAATTACACCTCACAGTCGTGATGCAGAGGCGGAAGAAGAACACGAAGTAAAAAAAGAAAACGTAAGTCATGAGGCACCAACAGAGACACGTGGAAGTCCAGCCAACGACGCAGGAATACAAACGGCAACACCATCGCCACCACCAGCAACAATGAATGGACCGTCCAGCACTGAGGATTTACCACCCGTGCAAGCGCCACAACGCGTCCAAGACGACCATGCGGAATCAAGGCCACCATCACACACGGCAAACGGTGATGCCGCCAATAATGATTCTGACAAAAGCACTGAAGAGCGCATGCCGAGCAATGATCCAGCAGCTGATGGTGCAGGGACAGCAGAGGGTAAACAAAATGAAAATAAAGAAGCCAATCCGAAAGAAACACCAGTCGAAGCCACAGCCACGAAAAATACAACGGCGACGACTGGAGACAGTGACGGCAGCACCGCGGTCTCCCACACCACCTCCCCTCTTTTGCTTCTTCCTGTTATTGCGTGTGCGGCTGCGGCTGCTGTGGTGGCCGCGTGAGAGTGAGGGAGAGAGAGCCATGCACCGCCCGCACACACACTCGTCCTTCTCTCTCACTCTCTGTGTGTGTCCCCTTGCATGGACTCTCGCCCTCACCTCATCCCACGAAGCACACACATAATGTGCCCATTGTATGTATTGCATGCACACCCATGCAGGCCCGTTGGTGCACTCTTTTGCACCACACGCACCGCTGCCGTCCTGCCTGGCTGCATGGGCGGAGCACCATAACTGTTTCTGTTTTGTTTTTATTGCATTGAGTGGGCGACCTCTCTCTCTCTCTCTCTCCCTGTGTGTGTGTTTTGCTTTACGGGAGCAATGAGAGTGTGTGCGCTGGTCGTCCCACGCTTCGGCTTTTTGTTTTGTTTTTCATTGTTTTGTGGTTGAGAGCACCCATTCCGCGGGCTGCGTGTGTGTGTTTGTGTGTGATGATATGAGTGATTCGCCTGTGTGCTATCTGCCTCTCTCTGCCGTTGCTTTTTTCTGACTCTCTTGTGGCGCACAGCTGCTCTGCAATTATAGGCGCTGCCAAACACAAAAGCACAAACAAATGCACACACACGCCATGCCGCACACAAGTGGGCTGTCCCTGCACTGCTAGAGGAGCTCTGGGCGCGCTTTGGAATGTCGCAGCGGGCACAATTGGACTCGGTGCATTGGCGCCTGTGGCTGCCTATGGCGACGCCCCGATCCGCTCTGTTGGAAAAGCCGGCGTGGTTGTGGGGCGGCGGGAGAGCAACGGCGGACACGGTGACCTTTACGCAGTGAGTTCACAGTAACTTCCTTGGCCAGTGGCAGTGCGGATGGAACTGTCATAATGATCGCACCGCCGGCATGCTTGCTGTCAATTTCCCCGAAATGAGAGCGGTGAAAGAAGGTCCGTCTGCATGACGCTTTGCATCTCCGCCTCAGGGCTGCGCATGGCAATTTGGGTTGCCGTGCGGTGATGCCATAGGGTATGATCTGCTGGGAGAGCGCGCTGTGCTATGCTCCTGCACCTGGGGCTGGTGCTGTGCCGTTGGCGGATGTTGAGTGGCCGATCATACAAATATTGCGACACCACGAGGAGAGCAGACCAAACACTCCGCGTGGAGGGAGCGTTGCGGCTGGTGAGGACTCTGTGCGACGGTGATGGACGTTCTCTCGACGACGGATTGACGGATTGTCCCTTTGATTTAGTTGGTGCGCATGCTGTGTGTATGGCTGCCACTGTGGTCTCCTGTTACTCCGCTGCTTGTGCCGCTTTCTGACGCACCACTGGCACTAAATCGTTTTATTTCTTTTCTTTCTCTTTTTCCTTTGTCTCTCCTCCCGCATCCACGCTGCACTGCTACTGCTGCTGCTCACACGAAACCAAGAAATGCATTTTTTTCAGGCCATGCGCCAGCCTCGCCATGCCACGCCGCCACTTCCATTGCTGGTGTTGCTGCTGACGTGCTGCGCCAGTGGGTGCGTTGCCGCTGTACTCGCCACACAATACCGCTGTGGGTTTGAAGTGATGATGGGGAGGAACGGCCCGCTGTCGACTGCGGTTGTACGTGAGGTCCCGCACAAGGGACAAGGCGGAATGCAGGCGTACACCGTCGCAGCACAGGATGACGACAGTGGCTGGGAGCCGATCCGCATCGGGGTGTTCACGGAGGGTTTGAAGAGCATGTACAGGAAAAATACGTACTGCGAAAACGATGGGGATGAGTGAGACAACATCTTGGGAGAAAAGATAACCTGCAAAGCAGAGCATTTCTTGACGGAAGAAAAGACACAATTGTACACTGGAAATATTCTCCCTGGTGCCGTCAAACTCCACACTGAGCGGCTAATTGTGAAATCCACAGGCGGGACGATAACTGTACCGAGGGCTATGAATGGACCGTGCAGCCAGTTTACGGTTCCTACCGGGCACAAGAGTGACTGTGTGCCGAATGCAGATTTTATCATTTACGCTGCTGCTGGGCCGTCAAATACTGAAAGCATGGCTGTGTGGGCGGCAACGTGTAACACATGGGGAGATCTTCGCCCCTCCATTGGCGCCATGAACTTTGATCCAAAGTACATGACTGACACGGCGTGGAGCGTTCGCGTTGCCGCACACGAAATTGCGCATGCTCTTGGGTTCAGTAAAGATAGTATTGAAGGAAACAGCATCGAAACTAAAAGGAAAATTGTCCGTGGGAATCACCGCAGGATGGTGGCAGGGAAGCACGTTCGGGAGAAGACGAAAGCGCACTTTGTTTGTAAGTCTCTCGAGGGCATGGAGCTGGAGGACGAAGGTGGCACTCGGGAAAAAGCCATCCCTCACTGGAAGGGACGCCACGCGCGGGACGAGCTGATGGCACCCACAGTCGGTGCCGGCTACTACACGGCTCTGACGATGGCGGTGTTCGCGGATATGGGATACTACCGCGTGAATTGGAGCATGGCGGAGCCGATGAGCTGGGGCAGCCGCAGTGGCTGCGACTTCCTGGTCAACAAGTGCAATACAACCGATAATCTTGCCGCCAAGTATCCTCACATGTTCTGCGATGCTAAAGACACAGAGACGCTTCGCTGCACCTCCGACCGCCGTCACGTTGGGACGTGCACCGCAACTATTGTTGAAGACAAGGGGAGTCCTGCGGATAAGGACGTTTGCCCTGTTGTTTCTTTGGAATTTCAAGAAATATCGTCTGGGACAACGTACAGGACGTGCTCGGACGAAAATGTGGATTATCTCCCTGGGTCGCTGACTGGCGGTGGCTCGTGGTGCCTGGACGCGGAATTACTGGAGAGGAAGGACGATGATGGCCATAAAAGCGTTAAGGGAGTGTGCGCGCAGGTGTCGTGTGATGGGGGCACAGTGAAGGTGAAGTACCTCGGCAGCAGTGGGTTTCAGCCTTGCCCTGAGGACACTGACATCCCAGTGACGTTGAAATATTTTCAGAAAGATGGGAAAATCGATTGCCCCACGTACGGCGAGGTGTGCACCATTGCCGCGAAAGGCAGCAGTCTTGTCATTCCGAGTGCGTTGGTGGGTGGACATGGTGACGAGCAAGAGGAGGAAGCAGAAGAGTCTGCGGTTGCTTCAGGGTCGCCTTCTCCGGAGGATACTCGTCCACAGTTGTCTCCTGTGGCGTCTGGTGCCTCCATTGAAAAGGAGCCTCCCGGCGCTTCGGCTGCGGGTGTCGCTGGTGGTGGCCTTCATGCCGGTCCGAGGGGTGATCCGGGGGTGCGGGCCGAAAGTGAGGACAACACTCAGCGGCGAGGGAGGAGATATGGCAGTGGAAGCGACGGAGCCAACAGAGCCTCCGGCCCGACGCTTTTTTTTTTCGCCATCACCCGGCGAGGACGTTGCAGGAGCGGAGGGCGACCCGCGGGCGGATTGCCCAGCGGTGGTTCCCAGTGTCTCCGCGCCTGCCACTCCGATTTCGTCCGTCAACGGCGTCGATTTTCAGGCGATACCCGATGCGTTGGTACAGCAGGCCGACAGTGATGGCGGTGTGGCTGCTGCTACTGCTGGCCTCATTCCCTTTGTGTTTCTTGTTGTGGTCGCTGCGGCGGTAGTGGTGGTGCCTCTTTGAGCAGCCGCGGCGGCTGGGCGCAGTCAAACTGCGGCAGGGCGACAGTATTTACTTGGCACATTGACCCCGCACTCAAGATGTGCAAAACCGTAGCAATAACACTATAATACACTCACCGCATTCCCCATGTCCTTTTTTGCTTGCGGGTGATGGGCAAAATGACCGATCTTTTATTGCATTGTTTGTTATTCTGGGAAAGGTGTTTTTGTTTTGTTGCTTAGAGGGTCTAACTTCCGTGGAAACTGTGTGTGAACGAAGTAACATGGAGAGAAAAGACATTTCCCAGCACCACATGTATACACTCGTTTTTTGATGCGATTGGGACGAGGGGAAATCACCGTACTCTAATCATGGGTAAAAAGTAAAGGAAATGTGCTCCAATGGAGGCGGGGTCGTGCCAGTAGCTGTTTCTCTGAAGGACAGGGACGACTGCCTCTGCATCCGTAACTGGTGCATGCGGCTTTATCTTTTACACTTTTGCTTGGGTTTGTGACTTTGATTTTTTCTTGTGTGTGTGCGTCATTGCGAGAATTTGGACCTCAAATAATTTCTGTGCTTCGGCTTTTAATCCGTATGCGTGCTTTTTATTTTTCTGCCTTCCCGAGTTTTTGCATCCGTTTTTGATTGGCTGTGTGTGTTTCTCGGGTTCTCTGCTGCACTGTGGGTAGTGTGTCTTAATTCCCTCTGTCCCTGCTGTCCTGATTGTGAAAACACGCTGTGGGTCAGGGTGCATGGCTCCGTGGTTGCGGCACTACTTGTTGTGGTTGCGTTGGGACAGCCCCAACATGACTGCCAACGTGTGGCTCTTGGGTGTCTCGTTGGGCTCTTTTCCGTTTCCTGCGCGATGGACTCCCGTCGTCGGCGCACCCTTTCGTGCAGTGGCGTCAGCGCAACAAGGTGGCAGTTTTGTTGTTGTTGCAGCTTCAGCTGTTCGGTTTTTCCCTCTGGTATTGTGAGGTGCAGGTGTCGGATGTGGCGGCAATGTGCCGAAGACAAGGAAGGAGGAGGATGGTGCGTGCGTGCGGGAGGGCCCTGCGGTGTTGGAGCGGTGCGCACTGTTTGCGGGCTTGATGCGCCCCTTTGGTGCATGGCGTGTCTTGGTGTGTCCTTCTTGCCGTCTGTGGTGCCAGCCGGCTCTTCACGATTGTGGCAATGGCGTGTTGACAGCTGTGTTTGGGTTGGCGTTGGCTGTTCCACCCTCTGGGGCTACGAGGGTGGATGCATCACGATGAGCGACACCAATCGCGCACGACGCCTGGTCTGCAAGCAAGTGACGCACCGATTGCCGACGCGGCGCGGCCCTCTTGCCTTTTTCGGCCCTCTGGTAGCCTACAGTCTGATGTCTAGCCGTAGTGGTCTCCTCTTTTCTCACTCCTTTTGTGTGTGACCGCATGCACTGACCACAACAATTGTACAATATAAGTATTACAGAGTGCAGGGCTGTGCGTGTGTGTATGTGTGCCTGCTGCCGTGGATTGGAGTGTGTGTCGTGCGTGGTGTGTGGAGTACGGTGCATGCCTGGCCGCTGCCCTCTCCTCGTGTGATTTGCCCTCTGTGTGTGTCTGCCGCACCTCTCGTCTCCCCTGTTGCTCTCCATGTCCCTCACTGTGCAGATCAGCTCCACACCACTGAACGACCACACTCACGATGATGACGTGCCGTCTGCTGTGCGCCCTGTTGGTGCTCGCCCTGTGCTGCTGCCCGTCAGTGTGCGTGACAGCGGATGGTGAAGAAGATGTTAATATCTCCGGTCAACCGCCGGTTCAGCCAGGAGTGCAAACTCCGAGCAGTACGCAACTGCAATCAGATAATTCCGGTGTGATGGGGTCACAAAGTAATTCCGATATAACACCGGGACAAAATCAGGTAACTGGTGGAAGAGGAAGTGAAAACTCTCTCCCAAGCCCTCCTGCGCCAACGGGAGAAAGTGCTACGTCCGGTACGAAAGAGTCCACAGTTCCTGAAGCCGGCAGGACACAGGAACAAGATGCAATGACCGGAGCCGGAGTGTTACAAATACAGCCCGGAGACGCAGAGTCACCGAATTCGAGGACCGTTACAGCGCCAAATACGGCCACTACGGGAATGTCACCAACTCCTCCAAACGAGCTGGAAAATAATTCAGCAAAAAACATCAATGCGCCAACTACGATCACTACGACAACCACAGCCACCACTGCGCCAGAGGCACCAAGTACTACGACTACAGAGGCGCCAACCACGACGACTTCCCGCACACCGTCACGTCTGCGCGAAATCGACGGCAGCCTCAGCAGCTCTGCGTGGGTGTGTGCCCCGCTGCTGCTCGCCGTATCCGCGCTGGCATACACCGCTGTGGGCTAAAGAGGTGCATGCGGGCTATGCGCGTCAGCACTCAACCACGAGATTTGTGCGCGTCCACTGTGCTCCGATGTAAATAAATAAGAGAAAATAATGATTGTGTTTTGCTTTACTTGCTTCCGCTGCCCTGCTGTGTGGTCCATTTTGCTGCTTCCTGTACCCGTCACGTTGAACGCATCCCAGACACACTCATATGCACGCCACGCATATAAATTTTGCGTGGACGCATGTTTGTGTGCTTGTACATGCGCGCTGGAGTCATTCGGTGCAGCAAATTTTTTTTTTTTTTAGTTTATTGCTGTTTCTTCACTCCTGTTTGTTTAAATGATTTTTTTTTATTACTTGCTGCGGGGCGTTGTGTGTGTTTTTGCCTTTTTACTGATTTCAACTGCCTCATGGTGTGTGCTTTGCCGCTGCTGGGCTGTTGCCATTTGTGACTGTGCGGTGGCTGTGCGTGGTGTAGCGGACTTGTATTTCTTTCCTGCTTTTGCTCTGCGTTGAAGTGTTGTTATTTTGTGCTGAAGGCTACACGCAAGTGACAGGAGTGATGGCGATGATGATGGCTGGCCGTGTGCTGCTGGTGTGTGCCCTCTGCGTGCTGTGGTGTGGTGCCGGCGGTTGCGCTGAGAATGATGGTGGTGTTGCTGGTTCTCTTGAGGAACGTGGTATTGCCAAGGACGATGAAATTTCGAAAGGTTTATCTTCTTCAGGCCCGATATTGCAAGAGGGACAAGACCAAAGAGCAGCAGCATCAGGAGGTGGAGGAGAAGGAGGAGGAGGATCTACAGATTCACTGGGAGTGAAGGATGCTTCGTTCTCAGAGAAGGGTAAAAAAATCCCACAAAAACAGGAGGTGAAAGTAGGTTCCCATCCAAACCAACCAACTGGGGATGAATATGGAAGTAATGACTTGACGGAAGTTGGGGCTGACACGAGAAATCAAACACCACCAAAATCGACAACACAATCACCGACAGGGCTTCCTCCTCCTCCTCCTCCTCCTCTTCCAGAAGAAGCAGCAGAAGAAGCAGAGGAGGATCCGAATAATTCAGTCGAGCACCATCCTGGAGAAGATCAACAGCTTCTACAAGAAGAAGTAACGGAACATGGACAGAATAACCAGAACCAACTAATACAAAAACAACACGACTCCAAACAACTTCAAATGCAACCAGAAACTGATGAAGAAAAAAAACGATTAGAAGAACAACGACAACATCAAGAAGAACTACGAGATCAGCAACAAAAACAAAAAGAACAACACGAAGAAAACATAAAAGAAGAAAAAGGACAAGAGCAACAACAAGAACAACAGCATGAAAATCAGCAACAAAAAGATGAAATAAAAGATCAACAAGATCAACAGCATGAACATTCCGCGGAAAAAGAAGAGGAATCCATAAAGGATAAAAACGCCGTCGGTACAAATTCCACCGCAAATACAGAAGACAGTGACGGCAGCACCGCTGTCTCCCACACCACCTCCCCACTTTTGTTTCTTCTTCTTGTTCTTGTTGCGGCTGCTGCTGCGGTGGTGGCCGCGTGAGAGTGAGGGAGAGAGAGCCGTGCACCGCCCGCACACACACTCGTCCTTCACTCACTCTCTCTGTGCGTGTCCCCTTGCATGGACTCTCGCCCTCACCTCATCCCACGAGGCACACACATAATGTGCCCATTGTATATATTGCATGCACACCCATGCAGGCCCGTTGGTGCTCTCTTTTGCACGACACGCACCGCTGCCGTCCTGCCTGGCTGCATGGGCGGAGCACCGTAACTGTTTCTGTTTTGTTTTTATTGCATTGAGTGGGCGACCTCTCTCTCTCTCTCCCTGTGTGTGTGTTTTGCTTTACGGGAGCAATGAGAGTGTGTGCGCTGGTCGTCCCACGCTTCGGCTTTTTGTTTTGTTTTTCATTGTTTTGTGGTTGAGTGCACCCATTCCGCGGGCTGCGTGTGTGTGTGTGTGATGATATGAGTAATTTGCATGTGTGCTATCCGCTTCTCTTTCTACCGTTGCTTTCTTTGGACTCTCTTTTGGCGCACAGCTGCTCTGCAAGTATAGAAGCTGACAAACACAGAAGCACATGCATACATACAAGGCATGTTGCACACGTTGTGGGGCGGTGTGAAAGCACGCACGCACAAGATTCTGGCTGCGGTTGCTTCTGCGAGAAGAGTTGGAGTCCGCAATTTGCCTCGTCGACGTTTTTCGGGCGTGATGTTGGCGGTGTGCTGTCAGTGAGTGGTGTGGCATTCTGGGTGCCTGGGACAATTGCGGATTGATTTGCTTCCAAAAGCTGTACCTGCCGACGTGGCACTGCCGCTGTGTATCCGTTGACGGGGGATTTTCCGGCGTGCGGACTGATGTGCGGGTGCGCTGTAGAGACAACAGCAATACGACTGCCGGCAGCGCGTGGGTGCAGCGAAGGGCGGTTGTGCTTTTTTGCATCTCGCTGGTTGTGTTTTTTGCGTGGGCGTCGTTCGGTGTCTGCCGACGCGTGAGGAATAACGACGCACCCGCTGTGGCTTTTACTACTGGTGGTGGCAGTCGCTGTGTGTTCCCGGTGCACTGTTCATCCATCTCCTGTTCCGTGTGTCTGTGTGCACGAGTTGTTGTTGTTGGGAGTGACTGCGGTGGGGATGATGGTGCCACTCACTGTGGATGGGTGGCGGTGTTCACTGTTTTACTCCTTTTTTCTCTTCTCTCTCTTTCTCACACACAAAGAAGGAAAGGAAGTAAGGCTAAACGCTAATCGCCACTGTGAAATTTGAAGGCACTGAAAGGACCAACAGCACACACAGAGCACACACACACATATTTATATGCTCTCACGTGTTGCTGCAGTGAAGGCACCCCGCACACACATCCGTCGCCGCGTGACCGGATCCAGCGGAAAGAGGAGGGAAGGAAGAGAGAGTGAGCAGCAGAGGCCCAACATGTCCCGGCGTGTGTTTACTTCCGCGGTGCTGCTCCTCCTCGTCGTGATGATGTGCTGCGGCACTGGTGTTGCTGCGGAAGCTGCGGGGCAGCCATCTCAAAAAAAGTTTGAATGGAAATTCATCACTGAGGGTGAAACTGTGGAGTCGTTGGGTGCTCCCGGTCTTCTAAAAGTGGGGAGTGACATATTTGCCGTTGCCGAGGCGCAGTGCAAGAAAGGTGAAGACATCATCTTTACTGGCATTGCATCCCAACTTCTTACGGAAACGGAGGATGTTGAACAGAAGGAAGTTATGAAGGATGCCAAAAAGAAGACACAATTTTTGGAGAAAGAAGGTTCTGAACGGAATAAAGTGGATGTGAGCCGGCCAACAATAGTTGTGAAGGAAAATGATATTTACATGATGGCTGGGACTTACAGCTCGAACCCTGCTGATGGTTGTCAGGATGGGGCTGACGTGGCTACTTTGAAACTTCTGCTGGTAAAAGGGCAAGTCAGTGATGGAGAAAACAAAAAAATTGACTGGAACGATGCTCACGCTCTACCGTGCACTTTTTTAAACCAAGAACACAAATCCTGGACGCGGCTGACTGGCGGAGGCGGATCGGGTGTCACGATGGAGGACGGTACGCTTGTGTTCCCAGTGGAAGGCGCGAGGAAGGTAAAAAAGGAGGGAGACGCAGAAAAGGATGAAAAGACCGTTTCGCTCATCACATCTACTCCGAAGGATACTAATACTTGGAAACTGTCGAAGGGGACGTCTGACGGTGGCTGCAGTGATCCCTCCGTCGTGGAGTGGGGGGAGGACAAAAAACTCATCATGATGACTGCGTGTGATGATGGCCGCCGCAGGGTGTACGAGTCCGGTGACAAGGGGGAGTCGTGGACGGAGGCACTCGGGACACTCTCGCGCGTGTGGGGCAACAAACAGGGTGAAAGTGGCGTTAGAAGCGGGTTCATCACAGCGACGATTGGCGATGGTGACAAGAAAAAAGTGATGCTCGTCACCCTGCCGGTGTATGCCAAGAAGATCAATGGAAAAGGAGAAAAGGAAAAGAGTGAACTCCATCTTTGGCTGACGGACAATACGCACATTGTTGATATTGGGTCGGTATCCGATGATGACGTTGCCGCCAGCTCCCTGTTGTACAAAAGTGGTGAGAGTGAAACTAATAATGAGGAGAATAAGGAGGAGTTGATTGCACTGTACGAGAAGAAGGGCGATGGGAAACCATCACACAGTCTTTGGTCTGTGGTCCTGACTGAGCAGCTGCAGCGGGTGAAGGAGGTGCTGGCGACGTGGAAGAAAGTGGACGACCTTTTCTCCAAGCTGTGCCCTCCTTCAAGTGATGCGAAGGATCCCTCAACTGGCGCTGCTCGCAGAGATTTTAAGGTGACGGATGGGCTGGTTGGATTTTTGTCGGACAACTTCTCTGAGAACACATGGAGGGACGAGTACCTCGGGGTGAACGCCACAGTGAAGAACAATGGTGTTGGGGGTAATAAGGCAACAAAGACTTCCGATGGTGTGAAGTTCCATGGAGCGTGGGTGGAGTGGCCTGTTGGCAGTCAGGGGGAGAATCAGCTGTACCACTTTGCGAACTACAACTTCACTCTTGTGGCGACGGTGTCCATACACGGTGAGCCGAAGGAGGGTACTATTCCTGTGATGGGAGCGAAGATGAATGATGCTGGGAATTCCATACTTTTTGGATTGTCGTACGACAACAAAGAAAAGAAGTGGCAGCTGCTGTGCGGTGGCGGAAACCCTAATGAGCTCAGCAGCACATCGGAGAAAACACACCACGTGGTAATTTTGCTACGGAACAGCAGCCAGGGCTCCGCGTATGTCGATGGTAAGCAAGTGGGTGGGGATGTGCCGTGTGCGTTGGGAAATACGGATTCGAAAGGAATCTCGCACTTCTACATTGGAGGCAGTGCAGTGAGCGCAGGGAGCAAAGGAGACGTGTCTGTGACTGTGACGAACGTCCTGCTGTACAACCGCCCGTTGAGCTCTGAAGAGGTTGGCGCCCTCAGCCCGAATAAAGACTCTATTCAACTATTGGAAGAGAATCCGTCGGAGCCTTCAACAGTTTCTTCTGATTCCGTTGTACCTCCCATCCCTCTGGTGACTGCAGCTGCTCAGAAAACCGGAACTTTGTCTACTCCTGCCGGAACACAGCTGACGGAACAGGGGCAGCCGATGGGGAGCAGTGGTGCGGGCAGTGGCGGAGCATCCACAACAGCAGTGTCCACTGTCAGTACTTCCTCAGCAGAAGAGGAGTCCGTATTGCAGGTGACGTCAGGAACGTCTCCCGATGGAACTCAATCTGTGGGTGGCGGTTCTACTGCTGTTGGCGAGCCAACGATGGAGACAAGAGAAGGAGGAACGAATGGGCAGGAGGAGGAGGTTAATACACAGGTCAGGGAAGTAAATGCCACGGCACTCAGCAGCAACCTCGGAAATGTGTCGCAGGGGAATAACACCGATGCTGGCAAAATGCGTGGGAGCGGACTGCTGCCATCGCTGCTTCTTCTGTTGGGACTGTGGGTGTTTGCGGCTCTCTGAGGAGTGACTGGCTGCCGCGTGGAACACTTTCGACCTCCCCTGCACCGACACACACACCTGGCAATGAATTTCTCTTCCTAAATAACTTTTATTTACTTCTCTCCCTGTTTGCTTTGCTGTGCGTTTTTAAGTTTTTTGTTCTGTTGCGCGAGTCCATGTGTGTGTCTTTTTTTCAAAATTCTTTTCTTTCTTTTAAATTGCTTTTGTTTTCATCTCTCACTCCCCCATTCCTCTTTTCTTTTTTTGCTTTTGGGGCAATCACTATGGACGTTTTTTCTTTTCTACTCTTCCCTCTTTTTAAATTGTTTCTTCTGCGCTCTTCCTGTGAGGGGTGCCGTGTGTTTCCCGCCCAACTGCTCCACTCGCACACCCACCGACACGCTCATGACGACGGCCCTGTGCGCCTCGCCTGCTGCACGCATGAGGAGGGGCCGCAACGAACGGCACGCTGAGGGAGCCGTGACGTGTGGGCGTGCGACGAGGGCCTGTGGGGCGGAGCACACATTTCTTTCCCTCTTGTTTTGTTTTTATTGCGGCCAGGGCGGGCAGACACCCGCAGCGCCACACACACAGCCACACCCTGCCGCCGTGTTTTTATTTAAGGATTTGTTTTGCTTTGCGTGTTTATTTCATGCGGTGGCGCACCCTTCGGTGTCGGCCTCGCGAGCATTTCTCTCCCCTCCGATGATTTCTTTTTTTCTTTTGCTGCGCTCACTCTCCCGATGGAGAGACGTGACTCTCATCATTTCTGCGTGCTTCTCTCAGTTCCCACACACACGAGTGACTGTGCTCTGCGGGCCGCACTCACGCGCCGATGGGAGGGCTGAGGGGAGCAGCAACACGCAGATGACCCCATGAAATATAAACGATGTGCGGACACATGGAGGGTCAGACGGCTGAAGCACACGTAACCATCTTTTTAATTTTATTTTGCTGGCAAAATACATACAGACGGTTTGGTGTGGCCACACGGCTGCCAGCGATTTTTTTCTTATTTTGTGTGGAACAGTAATGGACGATTTATTTTTCATTTATAATTATTTTGTGTGATGGGGTTTATATAAGACGAAGGGGACTTTTTTTTTTTTTCAATAAATATTTTGTGAATTGCCACCGCTTGGGCTGCAGTGCAGTCATGAGTTTGAGCGGTCTTCTTGTTGTTGTTTCCGTCATGCGTCTCCGCTGTACATTTTTGTGCGTCTCTCCGCATACTCTGCTTCCTCTTTTCTACGTCTTTGCTTTGTGTTGCTGCAGGCACACACAACCACACACACACACACAAGTTGCACATTGCAGTGGATTTGAATGCTTCTTTTGTAGTGCATGCTGGCAGTTGCGTGTGGCGGCTGTTGTCTTCTTCCGTGGCCATGAGGAGGAGAGAGGGAGCGCGCAGCCCGAGTCTATTTTCCTGTGGGTGTGATGCACCGCGTGTGACTGCGCTGAGTTGGGCTCCGTGTCCCATTGAGGGCGGGATGGCAGGAAGTTTTGTGCCGCGTCATGGATGGATGAGGGTTCGCTTGCTCCGTGTGCGTTGTGTGGTGGCCGCGGGGTTTTGGCCATTTCCCTGGGGCTGCGGGAATGAGCTGGGGGAGATGGTGGTGGATGTCTTCTTCTCCTGCATGGTGGGTGGCTGCTGGCGTTGTGTGCCTTCCTTGCGTGGATGCCGTCTCGTGGTGTGTGAACTGTGCGGCTGGGCCTGCTGCCCTCTCCTCATGTTGTCTGCGCTCTCTCGCTGTATCCGCTGTGCTCCGTCCCTCTCCCTCTCGTTCCATTCTTTCCGTCTCACCGATCGGCTGACTGACACCAGCGACTCCACTGCGGGCGATGATGACTGCGATGGTGACGGTGCGGCGCCGTGTTGGTCCCTGCGCTCTTGTGCTGCTGCTGCTCGTCCGTGTGCGTGACGGCGACAGGAGACGATAATGATGATAACAGCAGTCCTCCCAGCCCTGAGCTAGGGAAACCGGATCCTACAGGAATACGCCTGGTGCATTACAGCCATATTGTGGGGAGACCGGTGGGCCACAGATAGAGAGTGGGAGAGACAGTGAGGAGGGTTTGTGAAGTCCAGGACCTTCTTTCCAAAGGAAGCAGGCACAGCCATCACTGGACAGACACGAGTTCCGCCAGAGACACTGAGTTCGGCTAGCGATGCTCCATAGCCAGCAGGTTTGGCAACTCGGTCTCCGCACACACACAAGTTGCGACCGGTATGTCAGATGCACAAAATAAAAGGCGCAGCAAAAAACACGAGGTGATGAGAATCATAAGGCACAGACATCAAATCAGAAGATCAAAATGCCAAATACGACCACCGCACCGGAGGCACCAAGTAATACGACCGTGAATACAGAGGCGCCAACCACGACGACCACCACCCGCGCACCGTTACGTCTTTGCGTAATCGACGGCAGCCTCAGCAGCTCTGCGTGGGTGTGTGCCCCGCGTTGCTTCCCGCATCCGTCACGTTGAACGCATGACAGACACGCTCATATGCATGCTCACTGGAGTCTTGGGTTTGTCATCTTTTTTTAAATTTTTTGCTTGTTTCTTAAAATTTTGACCTGCAGGATATTATGTGAGTTTTGCAATCGTGCTGATTCCATGTGTCTCATGGTTTGTTCTCTGCTACTTCTGCTGTTGCTGCCATTTGTTGCTGTGCGGTGGCTGTGCGTGATGTAGCGGCCGTGTCTCTCTTTTTGTTTTCACATGCTATTGCAGGTTGGCTTCAAAGCGTTAAGTGGCTAAACTGTTTGTGATGATGACTGGCCGTTTGCTCTGCGTCCTGTTGGTACCTTCACTGATGTGCTGTTTCTTGTGCGTGTGTGCAACAGCTGCTGCGACGGAGGTGCGTGTGCGGCCTGCTGGTGATGGCGCGGTGACTGCTGGGCACATGTGGGCAGTGATGGCTGCGGAAAGTGAGCCCGTGGTCGATGGCTCTGAACGAAAGGTGAATGTGAACTCCGAAGAAAATGACAATCAGGAAGACGAGGAAAACGAGGAAAACGAGGAAGACGAGGAGGGTGGGGGAAGCAAAGTGGGTGATGGTCCTACGCCCACGCCCCCTGAAACATTCACTCCTACGACGAGGAAGGATCAATCCAGCAGCGATCAACTTCGAATTATCACTTCCAATCCTTCTGACGCTGGTGACGTGTCCGATTCCCAGACCTATGCAAGTGGACAGGAGTCTTTGAGCGGAGGGCCCGCTGCAGGCACAACATCCCCACTCCCCAACTCATCTCAGCAGGCAGCAGGTGGAGTGCATGCTGGAGGTGGGAGTTCCTCCCAGGGCATTCAGGCTTCAGGACAAACCGTCATGGGACTGTCACTGGTGTCAGAGACGGCGAAGGTAACACCGCAAGGCGGTGGAGGAGGAGGACCCGGAGCGCAACACGAAGCCGAACACACCACAAAAGATGGCGGTGATAACCCCCTGGGAAAAAACGGCAATGGAAAGGGAGAGCCACCAGCGGGATCGCAAACTGCACCACGACCCAGCAGTGGCGGGAGTGCTAATGTCGCACCGAATCCCGCTGTCTCCATTCCACTGCCCCCAGAGCCAAAGCCAACAAGTGAGGCAACCGGTACGGGAGAATCTCCACATCCGACCGATAGTGCACAGACACAAAGTATGAGGACCGATACTACACCAAGCACGGCACAGACTCAAAATTCGCCGAACAGTAAAGCACAGGAACCAGAAGCAGAAATCACTACAACAGAGGCACCAAGTACTACGGCCATGAATACAGAGGCGCCAACCACGACGACGACCCGCGCACCGTCACGTCTTCGCGAATTCGACGGCAGCCTCAGCAGCTCTGCGTGGGTGTGTGCTCCGCTGCTGCTCGCTGTATCCGCGCTGGCGTACACCACCCTTTGCTGAAGAATTGTGTGTAAGGTGTGCGTGCCAGCACTCAATCACGGGGACATGTGCATTTCCACTGTGGTGCGATGTATAAAGTATGAGTAATTATGATGATTGTGCTTTGCTTTGTTTGTTTCCCCTACCCTCATGTGTGCTCCGCGTTCTTCATCTCTTCCGTCACGTTGATTGCGTCGCAAACACACTCACGACACGCGCACGACTGTTTGCGAGGACGCACTGATGAGGGTAGGCGCATGCGCGTTGGAGCAATTCGGAGCAGCTCTTTGTTTTTTTTTTTGTGTGTGTTTTTGCTGTTTTACTTCATTGCTGCTTGATTCCTTTTGTTTTGTTTTGATTGTTTTGAGTATTTTTCTTTTTGTTAAAATTTGGCAGGGTGTTGTGCATTTTTTGAAATTTCGTTGCTTTGATATTTCCCATGAAATGCTTGCTGCTGCAGCTGGTGTTTTTTACTGTTCCTTGTCTCTCATTTTGCTTTCACTCTCTGTTGACGGGGATTTAGTTTGTGCTGAAGGCTGCACGCAAGTGACAGGAGTGATGGCGATGATGATGGCTGGCCGTGTGCTGCTGGCGTGTGCCCTCTGCGTGCTGTGGTGCGGTGCGATTTTTGGACACGCGATGGACGATTACTGCAGTGAGGGTGGAGGGAACGGTTTGAGGCACACGAGTAATGGTGGAGATGACGGCGTGTCTCTAAAGGCGGACTGCGGGTTGTTAGCCACTCGAATGGCATTAATAAAGGCGGTTGAAGCTGGGGACGACGGTATAGATGAAAATGGTAATGCCGTATTGGAAAATAAGGACAAATCACAGCATGGTAGTGTCTTGGCTGGTACTGGGGGCAATGAAACGCCTGGTCAAAAGGGAGTGAAAGGTGCCGCAGGTGCAGGATTACCACCCTCGCCGTCTGGGCCTGGAGGATCAGATACAGAAGAACAGAGGCAGCCAGAACAGTTGGATACAAAAGGAAAAGAGGCAGGAGGTAAGAGGGATGAAAAGGGCGGCAAGGCAACTGAGTCCCAACAACAAAGAGCTGATCAATCTTCTTCATCTGGCAGCGACGGCCCTCAGGGTGGCAAAGAACCCAATTTGAAAGAAAAATCCGAGAGTACTGAATCCTCCGTTGACACGCCGACACAAGAAGATGAAGTTGAAGCGGAAGAAACAAGTGTGTCAGAAGAAGAAACCGGAGGAGACGAAGAAAACAACAATAATGTGGCACTCACAGTGACAAGTGAAAGTCAAGCGAAACTGAAAGGAACACAAACAGCAACACCACCAACACTACCAACAACGCAAGTGAATGAACGGTCCCGCACTGAGGATTTAGGACACGTGCAACTGCCAAAAGGCGTCCAAAGCGACATTGAGTCAAACTACAATTCACAAACTGAGGGCGCTGCCCCCATCACAGCCAATCAACACAATGAGCCATCTGCCGACCATGCAGGATCCAGGCCACTATCACCCACGGCAAACGGTGATGCCGCCAATAATGATTCTGACAAAAGCACTGAAGAGGGCATCCCGAACAGTGATCCAGCAGCCGATGGTGCAGGGACAGCAGAAGAAAAACAAAATGAAAATAAAGAATCCAATCCGAAAGAAACACCAGTGACGGCCACAGCCATGAAAACTACAACGGCGACGACTGGCGACAGTGACAGCAGCACCGCGGTCTCGCAGACCACCTCCCCTCTTTTGCCTCTTCTTGTTGTTGCGTGTGCGGCTGCTGCTGCGGTGGTGGCCGCGTGAGAGTGAGGGAGAGAGAGCCATGCACCGCCCGCACACACACTCGTCCTTCACTCACTCTCTCTGTGTGTCCCCTTGCATGGTCTCTCGCCCTCACCTCATCCCACGAGGCACACACATAATGTGCCCATTGTATATATTGCATGCACACCCATGCAGGCCCGTTGGTGCACTCTTTTGCACGACACGCACCGCTGCCGTCCTGCCTGGCTGCATGGGCGGAGCACCATAACTGTTTCTGTTTTGTTTTTATTGCATTGAGTGGGCGACCTCTCTCTCTCTCTCTCTCTCCCTGTGTGTGTGTTTTGCTTTACTGGAGCAATGAGAGTGTGTGCGCTGGTCGTCCCACGCTTCGGCTTTTTGTTTTGTTTTTCATTGTTTTGTGGTTGAGAGCACCCATTCCGCGGGCTGCGTGTGTGTGTGTGTGTGTGTGTGATGATATGAGTAATTTGCGTGTGTGCTATCTGCCTCTCTCTGCCGTTGCTTTCTTCTGACTCTCTTGTGGCGCACAGCTGCTCTGCAATTATAGGCGCTGCCAAACACACAAGCACATGCATACATACAAGCCATGTTGCACACGTTGTGGGGCGGTGTGAAAGCACGCACGCACAAGATTCTGGCTGCGGTTGCTTCTGCGAGAAGAGTTGGAGTCCGCAATTTGCCTCGTCGACGTTTTTCGGGCGTGATGTTGGCGGTGTGCTGTCAGTGAGTGGTGTGGCATTCTGGGTGCCTGGGACAATTGCGGATTGATTTGCTTCCAAAAGCTGTACCTGCCGACGTGTCACTGCCGCTGTGTATCCGTTGACGGGGGATTTTCCGGCGTGCGGAGTGATGTGCGGGTGCGCTGTAGAGACAACAGCAATACGACTGCCGGCAGCGCATGGGTGCTGCGAGAGGCGGTTGTGCTTTTTTGCATCTCGCTGGTTGTGTTTTTTGCGTGGGCGTCGTTCGGTGTCTGCCGACATGTGACGAATAACGACACACACGCCGTGGCTCCTGCTGCTGGTGGTGGTGACCATCGCTGTGTGTTCCCGGTGCACTGTTCATCCATCTCCTGTTCCGTGTGTCTGTGTGCACGAGTTGTTGTTGTTGGGAGTGACTGCGGCGGGGATGACGGTGCCGCCTACTGTAGGTGTCGGTGCTTATTCTTTCATCCCTTTTTATTGGCCTGTTTTTTTTTCATTTCTCTCTTTCTCACACACAAAGAAGGAAAACGAACATTAATCGCTACTGTGAAATTTTAAAACACTGAAAGGACAAACAACAACACACACACACACCGCCCACACACACATATTTATATGCTCTCACGTGTTGCTGCAGTGAAGGCACCCCGCACACACAACCGTCGCCGCGTGACCGGATCCAGCGGAAGGAGGAGGAAAGGAAGAGAGAGTGAGCCGCAGAGGTCCAACATGTCCCGGCGTGTGTTTACTTCCGCGGCGCTGCTCCTATTTGTCGTGATGATGTGCTGCTGCAGTGGAACTGTGACTGCACAAGCTGTGGAGCAAGAGTCAATTGATCCAAATTATAAATGGAAGGACGTCAAGGATGAGGAGGGTGTAACTGTGGAGTCGTTGGGTGTTCCCGGCCTTCTAAAAGTGGGGAGTGACGTATTTGCCGTCGCCGAGGCGAAGAACACGAAGAAGGAGGGTCAAGGCAGCTTTACTGGCATTGCATCCCAACTTCTCACGGAAACAGTGGAAAAAAAGGATAACACACCGGTGGAAGTAATGAATGATGCCAACACGAAGACACAAGTACTGGAGAAAAGCACTTCCCCAAACAGGAAAGTAGACGTGAGCCGACCAACAACAGTCGTGAAGGGAAATGTTATTTACATGCTTGTTGGGAAATACAGCTCTGCAGATGTTGGTGAGAAGAGCGGAGCAAATGACGGGGGATTATTGCTGGTGAAAGGGGAAGTCAGTGAGGAAAGTGGTGGTGGCAAAAGAATCAAATGGAGCGATAATGACGGTGTCTCGCGGATTTCTGTTGGCGAACAACGACAATATTGGTCACGGCTGATTGGCGGCGGTGGATTGGGTGTTCACACGGATGACGGCACGCTTGTGTTCCCAGTGGAAGGCACGAAGAAGGGTGAAGCACCAAAGGATGAAAAGGCCGTTTCGTTGCTCATATACTCCTCTGATAACGCTGCGAGTTGGACGCTGTCGAAGGAGGTTCCTGACGGTGGCTGCAGTGATCCCTCCGTCGTGGAGTGGGGGGAGGACAAAAAACTCATCATGATGACTGCGTGTGATGATGGCCGCCGCAGGGTGTACGAGTCCGGTGACAAGGGGGAGTCGTGGACGGAGGCACTCGGGACACTCTCGCGCGTGTGGAGCAAAAAGGGTGAAAAGGCCGTCAGAAGCGGGTTCATCACAGCGACGATTGACGGTGTTGAAGATAACAGAAATGTGATGCTCGTCACTCTGCCGGTATATTCCGAGAAGGCTGATAAAGGAGGCAGTGGAAAGAGTGAACTCCATCTTTGGCTGACGGACAATACGCACATTGTTTATATTGGGCCGGTATCCGGGAAGGACGGCAACGTTGCCGCCAGCTCCCTGTTGTACAGAAGTGCTGGAAATGGAGATAATAAGGAGCAGAAGGAGGAGTTGATTGCGCTGTACGAGAAGAAGAAGGGCGATGGGAAACCATCACACAGTCTTTGGTCTGTGCTCCTGACTGAGCAGCTGCAGCGTGTGAAGGATGTGCTGGCGACGTGGAAGACAGTGGACGACCTTGTCTCCGAGCTGTGCCCTTCTGAGAATGCTAAGAAGGATGCCCCAACTGAAAATGCCTGCAGTCCTACTGATAAGATCACGGCTGGGCTGGTTGGCTTTTTGTCCGGCAACTTCTCTGAGAACACATGGAGGGACGAGTACCTCGGGGTGAACGCCACGGTGAAGAACAATGATGATGGGGGTAAGAAGGCAACATTGCATGAAGGCAGTGTGAAGTTCCAGGGAGCGTGGGCGGAGTGGCCTGTTGGCAAGCAGGGGGAGAATCAGCTGTACCACTTTGCGAACTACAACTTCACTCTTGTGGCGACGGTGTCCATCGACGGTGAGCCGACGGAGGAGGGTTCTCCCATTCCTTTGATGGGTGTGAAGATGGATGGCGATAAGAATCCCGTATTTCTGGGACTGTCGTACAACAAGAAAAAAAAATGGATATTGCTGTGCGGTGGCGAAAACCCTAAGGAGCACAGCAACACTTGGGAGAAAGATACAACACATCAGGTGGTGCTTATGCTACAGAACGGCACCCAAGGCTCCGTGTACGTCGATGGTCAGCGTGTGGGTGGGGGTGAAGCGTGTGCATTGGAGAATAAGGATTCAAAAGAGATATCACAGTTCTACATTGGAGGGGGCGAACGCAGTGCAGGCGGCGCAGGGAGACAAGAAGACGTGTCTGTGACCGTGTCGAATGTCCTGCTGTACAACCGCCCGTTGAGTACTGCGGAGATTGGCGCCCTCAACCCGAATAAAGTCCTCATTCCACCTGTGGTATCTGACAATGCCCAAGGAACCCTGTCGCAGTCCTCTCCTGCCGGGCAACCGCCGTCGGGGCCTAAATTGTTGAATGGAAATGAGGGTGTGGGCGGTGGCAGCACGTCCACATCAGCACCGTCCACTGTAACGACTTCCTTAGGAAAAGAGCAATCCGTAATTCAGCTGCCTTCAGGAACATCTTCCGGTGGAAACAAAAATGTGGATGTCGCTTCTCCATCCGATGGTGATCCAATGGTGGGAGCGGAAGCTGGAGGTGCGGTGCAGGGAGACACACCACCCCAAACTCCTGTGGATACCCCCGACAAAGCAGATCCAAACGCTCCTGCCGCTACGGACGTGGCTCAAGTTGACCCCGCAGATACAACTGAGGTTGGTGCGCGCTCTGGTGAGAATGGGGAGACGGTGGGAGGGACGGATGGGCAGAAACGGGAGGACATCCATGCACAGGACGGCGAAGTAAAGGCTGCGGCACTCAGCAGCAGCCTCGGAAATTTGTCGCAGAGGAATAACAGCGATGCCGGCACTGTGCGTGGGAGCGGACTGCTGCCATTGTTTCTTCTGTTGGGACTGTGGGTGTTTTTGGCTCTGTGAGGAGTGACTGGCTGTTGCGTGGGACAATTGCGACCTTCCCTGCACAAAAAATACACGTGATAATTTATTTCCCTTCTCAAATAGCATTTATTTTATTCCCTGTTTGCTTTGCGTTTTGTTTTTGTTTTTACTTTTTATTTCTAATCTCTCACTCCCCCATTCCTCTTTTCTTTTTTTGCTTTTGGGGCAATCACTATGGACGTTTCTTTCTTTTCTACTCTTCCCTCTTTTAATTGTTTCTTCTGCACTCTTCCTGTGAGGGGTGCCGCGTGTTTCCCGCCCAACTGCTCCACTCGCACACCCACCGACACGCTCATGACGACGGCCCTGTGCGCCTCGCCTGCTGCACGCATGAGGAGGGGCCGCGACGAACGGCGCGCTGAGGAGCCGTGACGTGTGGGCGTGCGGCGAGGGCCTGTGGGGCGGAGCACACATTTCTTTTCCTCTTGTTTTGTTGCGGCCAGGGCGGGCAGACACCCGCAGCGCCACACACACAGCCACACCCTGCCACCGTGTTTTTATTTAAGGATTTGTTTTTGCTTTGCGTGTTTATTTCGTGCGGTGGCGCACCCTTCGGTGTCGGCCTCGTGAGCATTTCTCTCCCCTCCGATGATTTCTTTTTCTTTTGCTGCGCTCACTCTCCCGATGGAGAGACGCGACTCCCGTCATGTCTGCGTGCTTCTCTCAGTCCCCACACACACACGAGTGACTGAGCTCTGCGGGCCGCACTCACACGCCGATGGGAGGGCTGAGGGGAGCAGCAACACGCAGATGACCCCATGAAATATAAACGATGTGCGGACACACATGGAGGGTCAGACGGTTGAACCACACGTAACCATCTTTTTAATTTCTTTTGTGGGCAAAATACATACAGACGGTTTGGTGTGGCCACACGGCAGCCAGGCGATTTTTCTTTTTTTTACTTTTTAATTTGTGTGGAACAGTAATGGACGATTTCTTTTTCATTTATAATTATTTTGTGTGATGGGGTTTATATAAGACGAAGGGGGACGTTTTTTTGTTTTAAATAAATATTTTGTGAATTGCCACTGCTTGGGCTGCAGTGCAGTCATGAGTTTGAGCGGTCTTCTTGTTGTTTCCGTTATGCGTCTCCGCTGTACATTTTGTGCGTGTGTCCGCATACTCTGCTCCCTCTTTTCTACGTCTTTGCCTTGTGTTGCTGCAGGCACACACAACCACACACACACACACAAGATGCACATTGCAGTGGACTTGAATGCTTCTTTTGTAGTGCATGCTGGCAGTTGCGTGTGGCGGCTGTTGTCTTCTTCCGTGGCCATGAGGAGGAGGGAGGAGAGAGGGAGCGCGCACCCCGAGTCTATTTTCCTGTGGGTGTGATGCACCGCGTGTGACTGCGCTGAGTTGGGCTCCGTGTCCCATTGAGGGCGGGATGGCAGGAAATTTTTGTGCCGCGTTATGGATGGATGAGGGTTCGCTTGCTCCGTGTGCGTTGTGTGGTGGGCGCGGGGTTGTGGCCATTTCCCTGGGGCTGCGGGAATGAGCTGGGGGAGATGGTGGTGGATGTCTTCTCCTCCTGCATGGTGGGTGGCTGCTGGCGTTGTGTGCCTTCCTTGCGTGGATGCCGTCTCGTGGTGTGTGAACTGTGCGGCTGGGCCTGCTGCCCTCTCCTCATGTTGTCTGCGCTCTCTCGCTGTATCCGCTGTGCTCCGTCCCTCTCCCTCTCGTTCCATTCTTTTCCTTTTCGTCTCACCGATCGGCTGACTGACTCCAGCGACTCCACTACGGGCGATGATGACTGCGATGGTGACGGTGCGGCGCCGTGTTGGTCCCTGCGCTCTTGTGCTGCTGCTGCTCGTCCGTGTGCGTGACGGCGACAGGAGACGATAATGATGATAACAGCAGTCCTCCCAGCCCTGAGCTAGGGAAACCAGATCCTACAGAAAAATATGCCTGGTGCATTACAGCCATATGGTGGGGAGACCGGTGGGCCACAGACAGAGAGTGGGAGAGACAGTGAGGAGGGTTTGAGAATTCCAGGACCTTCTTTCCAAAGGAAGCAGGTACAGCCATCACTGGACAGACACGAGTTCCGCCAGAGACAATACGTTCGGCTAGCGACAATCCAGAGCCACCAGGTTTGGCAACTCAGTCTCCACACACGCACAGGGTGCGACCGGTATGTCAGATGCACAAAATAAAAGGCGCAGCAAAAAACACGAGGTGATGAGAATCATAAGGCACAGACATCAAATCAGAAGATCAAAATGCCAAATACGACCACCGCACCGGAGGCACCAAGTAATACGACCGTGAATGCAGAGGCGCCAACCACAACGACGACCACCCGCGCACCGTTACGTCTTCGCGTAATCGACGGCAGCCTCAGCAGCTCTGCGTGGGTGTGTGCTCCGCTGCTGCTCGCCGTATCCGCGCTGGCGTACACCACCCTTTGCTGAAGAATTGTGTGTAAGCTGTGCGTGCCAGCACTCAGCCACGAGTATTTGTGCGCTTCCGCTGTGGTGCGATGTATAAAGTAAGAGTAATTATGGTGGTCGTGTTTTGCTTCATTTGCTTTAGCTGCCGTACTGTGTGCTCCGCGTTGCTTCCCACATCCGTCACGCTGAACGCATCCCGGCCGCACTCATATGCATGCGCACTAGGGTCTTGTTTTTTTTTTTTATTAGTGTTCTTTGTTGCTTTTTAAGCTTCTGGTTTGCGGGGCGGTGTGCAAGTTCTGCAATTGTACTGATTCCATCTGTTTCATGGTTTGTTCTCTGCTACTTCTGCTGTTGCTGCCATTTGTTGCTGTGCGGTGGCTGTGTGTGGTGTAGCGGTGGCTTTTCTTTTTTTGCTTTCACTCTGCGTTCACGTGTTGTTAGTTTGTGCTGAAGCCTACACGCAAGTGACAGCAGTGACGATGATGATTGGCCGTGTGCTGCTGGTGTGTGCCCTCTGCGTGCTGTGGTGCGGTGCGGTGTTTGGACACGCGATGGACGATTACTGCAGTGAGGGTGGAGGGAACGGTTTGAGGCACACGAGTAATGGTGGAGATGACGGCGTGTCTCTAAAGGCGGACTGCGGGTTGTTATCCGCTCGAATGGCATTAATAAAGGCGGTTGAGGCTGCGGAAGCTGGACAAGATGAACAAGAATTGAGTGGTGATACAAAACCACAGGGGAGTTTGAAGAAGCCATTACCTAATAATACGGAGGGCAGTCCAGCGCCTGGTGCGGGAGGAAGTGATGTCGCAGTTCAACCACCAGCAGCAGTAACGCTGGAGCACGAAGGTTCAGATACAGGAGGACAGCAGGTGACGCTGCCTAACGTGGTGGATACAAATGGTGGAAAAAAAGGAGATGATAAGAATGGAAGTGAACTTGAACCCGAAGAAATAGGAGCTGGTCAATCTTCATCATCATCATCTGGAGGCGCTGGCACTTTGGGTGGTAAAGGACTCCCCTCGAAACAAACTTCCAAGAGTAATGAACCCTCCAACGGCACGCCGACACAAGAAGAGGATGCAGGAAATCATCGAATTACACCTCACAGTCGTGATGCAGAGGCGGAAGAAGAACACGAAGTAAAAAAAGAAAACTTAAGTCATGAGGCACCAACAGAGACACGTGGAAGTCCAGCCAACGACGCAGGAATACAAACGGCAACACCATCGCCACCACCAGCAACAATGAATGAACCGTCCAGCACTGAGGATTTACCACCCGTGCAAGCGCTACAACGCGTCCAAGACGACCATGCGGAATCAAGGCCACCATCACACACGGCAAACGGTGATGCCGCCAATAATGAAGCTGACAATAGCACTGAAGAGGGCATCCCCAACAATGATCCAGCAGCTGATGGTGCAGGGACAGCAGAGGGTAAACAAAATGAAAATAAAGAAGCCAATCCGAAAGAAACACCAGTCGAAGCCACAGCCACGAAAAATACAACGGCGACGACTGGCGACAGTGACGGCGGCACCGCGGTCTCCCACACCACCTCCCCTCTTTTGCTTCTTCCTGTTATTGCGTGTGCGGCTGCGGCTGCTGTGGTGGTCGCGTGAGAGTGAGGGAGAGAGAGCCGTGCACCGCCCGCACACACACTCGTCCTTCACTCACACTCTGTGTGTGTCCCCTTGCATGGACTCTCGCCCTCACCTCACCCCACGAAGCACACACATAATGTGCCCATTGTATATATTGCATGCACACCCATGCAGGCCCGTTGGTGCACTCTTTTGCACGACACGCACCGCTGCCGTCCTGCCTGGCTGCATGGGCGGAGCACCGTAACTGTTTCTGTTTTGTTTTTATTGCATTGAGTGGGCGACCTCTCTCTCTCTCTCTCTCTTCCTGTGTGTGTGTTTTGCTTTACGGGAGCAATGAGAGTGTGTGCGCTGGTCGTCCCACGCTTCGGCTTTTTGTTTTGTTTTTCATTGTTTTGTGGTTGAGAGCACCCATTCCGCGGGCTGCGTGTGTGTGTTTGTGTGTGATGATATGAGTAATTTGCCTGTGTGCTATCTGCCTCTCTCTGCCGTTGCTTTTTTCTGACTCTCTTGTGGCGCACAGCTGCTCTGCAATTATAGGCGCTGCCAAACACAAAAGCACACACAAATGCACACACACGCCATGCCGCACACAAGTGGGCTGTCCCTGCACTGCTAGAGGAGCTCTCGGCGCGCTTTGGAATGTCGCAGCGGGCACCGTTGGACTCGGTGCATTGGCGCCTGTGGCTGCCTATGGCGACGACCCGATCCGCTCTGTTGGAAAAGCCGGCGTGGTCGTGGGGCGGCGGGAGAGCAACGGCGGACACGGTGACCTCTACGCAGTGAGTTCACAGTAACTTCCTTGGCCAGTGGCAGTGCGGATGGAACTGTCATAATGATCGCACCGCCGGCATTCTTGTTGTCAAGTTCCCCGAAATGAGAGCGGTGAAAGAAGGTCCGTCCGCATGACGCTTTGCATCTCCGCCTCAGGGCTGCGCATGGCAATTTGGGTTGCCGTGCGGTGATGCCACAGGGTATGATCTGCTGGGAGAGCGCGCTGTGCGATGCTCCTGCACCTGTGACTGGTGCTGTGCCGTTGGCGGATGTTGAGTGGCCGTTCACACAAATATTGCGACACCACGAGGAGAGCAGACCAAACACTCCGCGTGCAGGGAGCGTTGCGGCTGGTGAGGACTCTGTGCGACGGTGATGAATGCTCAGTCGACGACGGATTGACGGATTGTCCCTTTGATTTAGTCGGTGCGCATGCGGTGTGTATGGCCGCCACTGTGGTTTCCCGTTACTCCGCTGCTTGTGCCGCTTTCTGACGCACCACTGGCAATAAATCGTTTTATTTCTTTTCTTTCTCTTTTTCCTTTGTCTCTCCTCCCGCATCCACGCTGCACTGCTACTGCTGCTGCTCACACGAAACCAAGAAATGCATTTTTTTCAGGCCATGCGCCAGCCTCGCCATGCCACGCCGCCACTTCCATTGCTGGTGTTGCTGCTGACGTGCTGCGCCAGTGGGTGCGTTGCCGCTGTACTCGCCACACAATACCGCTGTGGGTTTGAAGTGATGATGAGGAGGAACGGCCCGCTGTTGACTGCGGTGGTGCGTGAGGTGCCGCGCAAGGGACAGGGCGCGATGCAGGCGTACACCGTCGCCACACAGGATGACGACAGTGGCTGGGAGCCGATCCGCATGGCGGTTTACACGGAGGATCTGGAGAGGCACGAACAAGAGGAAGTACTGCGAAGAGGGAGAGGATGAGTGCTACAATGCGTTGGGGCAAAGGGTGTCATGCAAAGCAGAGCATTTCTTGACGGAAGAAAAGACACAATTGTACACTGGAAATATTCTCCCTGGTGCCGTCAAACTCCACACTGAGCGGCTAATTGTGAAATCCACAGGCGGGACGATAACTGTACCGAGGGCTATGAATGGACCGTGCAGCCACTTTACGGTTCCTACCAGGCACAAGAGTGACTGTGTGCCGAATGCAGATTTTATCATCTGCGCTACTGCTAGGCCATCAGGCACGGATAGCAGGGCTGTGTGGGCGGCCGCGTGTAACACATGGGGAGATCTTCGCCCCTCCATTGGCGCCATGAACTTTGATCCAAAGTACATGACTGACACGGCGTGGAGCGTTCGCGTTGCCGCACACGAAATTGCGCATGCTCTTGGGTTCAGTAAAGATAGTATTGAAGGAAACAGCATCGAAACTACAAGGAAAATTGTGCGTGGGAAGCACCGCAGGATGGTGGCAGGGAAGCACGTTCGGGAGAAGACGAAAGCGCACTTTGGTTGTGAGTCTCTCGAGGGCATGGAGCTGGAGGACGAAGGTAGCACTCGGGAAAAAGAGATCCCTCACTGGAAGGGACGCCACGCGCGGGACGAGCTGATGGCTCCCACAGTTGGTGCCGGCTACTACACGGCACTGACGATGGCGGTGTTCGCGGATATGGGATACTACCGCGTGAATTGGAGCATGGCGGAGCCGATGAGCTGGGGCAGAAGCTCTGGCTGCGACTTCCTGGTCAACAAGTGCAATACAACCGATAGTCTTGCCGCCAAGTATCCTCACATGTTCTGCGATGCTAAAGACACAGAGACGCTTCGCTGCACCTCCGACCGCCGTCACGTTGGGACGTGCACCGCAAGCATTGTTGAAGACAAGGGGATTCCTGCGGATAAGGACGTTTGCCCTGTTGTATCTTCGGAATTTCACGAAATATCGTCTGGGACAACGTACAGGACGTGCTCGGACGAAAATGTGGATTATCTCCGTGGGTCGCTGACTGGCGGTGGCTCGTGGTGCCTGGACGCGGAATTACTGGAGACGAAGGACGATGATGGCCATAAAAGCGTTAAGGGAGTGTGCGCGCAGGTGTTGTGTGATGGGGGCACAGTGAAGGTGAAGTACCTCGGCAGCAGTGTTTTTCAGCCTTGCCCTGAGGACACTGACATCCCAGTGACGTTGAAATATTTTCAGAAAGATGGGAAAATCAATTGCCCCACGTACGGCGAGGTGTGCACCATTGCCGCGAAAGGCAGCAGTC